TATTTTACAGGGTTTAGGTAAAATCAGCCATCCAACTATTCATTGTGTGCACATTTGGAATTTTCTTTTGTACATATCTTATAGGGTTCCCTAAACATTTTAAATTTTTATCAAATACACTGTTATGACCGGGCTAAAGCTGGCTGCTGCTTGCATGGAATAATCAGTACAACAAAAAGATTTTTAGGGAGCTTTGATGGACATAAATTCTAGTGACCAAATTATATACTTTTTTGTGTACTTTTGAAATTACATAAATTATATCAATTGTTATCTATAAATTAAGGTTAAATGCAAGAAACAGTAATAAACTTTATGTTTCCTCTTTGCAGCATTGATGTCCACATTTGGTCAATCTAGAATTTTTTGTCCATTAAAGCTCCCTAATCTATTATTATTGTACTGATTATATATACCATTATGACCGGCAGACAACCTGCCATACTGGCGTATTTGATACAAGCTTAAAAAGTTTAGGGACCCGATATGTACAAAAAAAATCCAGAAGGACCAAATGTGGACACAATGAATAGTAGGATGGTCTTTAATCGTATATAACTACCATGGTCTAACATCACAGTTGGCTGTAACTGATTCAGATAACAAACCTTGAACCAATGGTAACCGGATTACAAGAAACATTGCCCAAATCCATTGGTTTACTCCCTTTTGATGGTGGCGTTACAGGTGACTGAATTTTTTTTAAAGAAATGTTTTCCTTTTTGTTGTATGTATCTTAAATTTATTTTATGTATATATATTTTTTTCAGGCTGTATGAGGCTTGTGAAAGAACTTCTTAAGTGGCAGTCAAAAACAGAACTTAAAGCTGAGATTCTACATGGGATTAAGGAGGTTGGAAGTGCATTATATTGGATGGGCCTCCTGGATATAGTTTTGGTAAGCTCTCTGGCCTCTGCTCTTATCATCTATATTACAGTAAGTTGCATTTTTGTCCCTGAATATAGATGATTTTTGCAATTTTGGTTCCAAAAAGTTTTCTTATGCAATTTTGGTCCTTATTTGAGGTTTTTGGTTCCTGGCTATTGCTGGTTTTTGCAATTTTGGTCCGTTTAACTTGGAACATGGACCAAAATGGCTACAACCACCTCTCGAATAAGGACCAAATTTGCAAAAGAAAACTTTTTGGGACTAAAATTGAAAAAACCAGCTATAAAAAATGTAACTTGTTGTTATTTATTATATATTAAGTTAAATAAACCAACTGCCGCTTAATCTTCTAATTTGGTATGGTATGAATATGATCAACAGAGAGAAATTGATACAACACAGTTCATGCAAGTGGCCTCATGGTTAGGCTTAATACCTGGTGCAGATGGTCAAATACTTCAAACTCAAGAAGACGGAAATACCCCTGTTGTGACTCTGTTCAAGTCAGCTACTGCTGCCATTGTATCCAGCAACCCCGTAAACCCCACGCCCTTCTACACAATGTCAAAACAAGCTGAAGCTGCTGGTGTGTGATGCTTATCTTATAAAAAAAAACTAAATAAAAGTAATAATTTTGAAAGGATTTAGGAATTGGTTTTTGGCTGTTGCAGATTTATTGTACAAGGCCAACTTAAATACCGGAAGTGTCCTTGAGTATGCCCTTGCTTTTACCAGTGCTGCACTTGATAAATATTGTGTCAAATGGAGTGCTGCCCCAAAGACCGGCTTCATTGACATCACCACATCAAAGGATTTTTACCGAATATTTAGCGGTCTCCAAATTGTAAGTCTATGATATGATATTGAAGAGGAGGGAGGGCATTTACGTCTTTTTGCACATACGACAGTCCTTGTCCCACCTAACGTTTTTGGTCATTATTTTAAGTAATTGACTGTACCAAATTTATAGAAAGAAATCAGGAGGAATACTCAGGGGACTAAAAGCAGTCATCTTACTTACAACTTGGACAAAAACCCTCAAATACAGACCAAAATTGCAAGAACCAACTATATGTATATGTATATGTATATTCAGGGACCAGGAGTCTTTTTTGTTATTTGCAGGAATATCTGGAAGATTCTATGCAAAACAAGCATGAAATGCTGGGGGATTCAGTTGCATGGGGTGGTTGCACGATAATCTACTTGCTTGGTCAACAACTCCATTTTGAGCTGTTTGACTTTTCGTATCAAGTCCTGAATATTGCTGAAGTTGACAATGCAGCAGCAACTGGACCTTCAAATAAGAGTCCACAGTTTTCTCAGGTTTATTTATTTATTTATATTCTCTTGTATTTTTCAGTCACGTAAATTAAAGATGTGGAGTAATTATTAAGTTATAAATTTTAGGGGTGGGAAGGGCTAATAGAAGCTATGAAGAAAGCAAGACGGTTAAACAACCACGTGTTTTCAATGTTGAAGGCACGGTGTCCTCTTGAAGACAAGCAAGCCTGTGCTATCAAGCAGAGTGGGGCCCCTCTTCACCGCATCAAATTCGAAAACACAGTCTCTGCCTTTGAAACTCTCCCACAGAAATCTTCTTGACAATTATTTGTAAATCTCCTTATTTTCTTTCATATTTCTTGTTGAGTAGTGTGTGTTTCTTTTTGTTTGTTGTACTCCTGGAAATTTGAAAAATATTAAATGGGAAAAAAAAATACCCATATTATGGAACTTGATTAAACTATTGATTGGAGGCAGAATTGTGGGGTTGGGCTGAAATTGTCTTTTGAGTTTATGTAAAGCTATTTACTGGAGTATTTTGTATGGAAAAATAAAAAAATTGGCCAAATTAAATTTATCAATGAAGTCGGTCGGTGATATTATTATGACGATTATAATGGTGTAATTAGTTTCAAGATCAGATGGTTTTTAGGTTTAATGAAAAATCACATACAACTTATAAATCATTGTGCATTCGATCGTCTGTAGTATTTTATATTTCATTAGTGTGATGTAAGAAAAATGTAATTTATAACGATGCAAAGAAGAAAAGTATTTTATAATGATATAAATAAAACAAATTTTGAGAATATGAGATAAATTTATATTATGACGTAAATAAAAATGAGATGGTTTCAACAGTATATTTAGATTTATACAAATTTATATATAATTATGTAAATAAAAATATACGATTTGAATGATATATTCAGATTTATGTCGATTGTTATAGGGGTGAGCAAAAACCGAACCGATTAAAGAAAAACCGACAAAACCGCAATAAACCGCAACCGAAAAACCGAAACCGATTCAAAAACCAATGGTGCGGATTTAATTTTTGCAAAAACCGAATGTCAACGGTGCGGTGCGGTTTCTATCCTAAAAACCGGTCCATCAAAACCGAACCGCACCGCAAGCGTATATAGTAATAAATCAATTAATGTATATTATATACATTCTATTTAAAATAGTTATAAACGATAATATATTTATTATATGTTTATTTTGTGTTTGTATAAAACTATATGGGGTGCAAAAGAAATGTTCTATTGTTAGTCAAACGTACTAATCGATTACATGTAATAAGCTTGTAACAAATTAAGTCAAAATCAACCAACCTTCAATCATTAATTAGTTTGTGAGAGTGGTCACAAGTTGTATTTTAAGCGACTTACAATTTTTGATTATGTAATTTTGTTTTGAGCTGAAAATGAATGTATTAAAAAAAACAACACAATACAAGCTTACATGCACATGGTTTTCAGTTCTTACAGTTTTAAAAAACCGCACAAAAAAACATAAAAAAAAAAAAAAAACTGCACCAAATTCTTAACACGGTTTAAAAACCGAAACCGCACCGATACAAACCGAAACCGCATTTAAAAACCGAAAAACCGAACCATTGCAAAACCGCACCCAATGGTTTTAAGAATGCAAAAACCGCACCATGCGGTTTGCGGTTCGGTTTGGTCTGAAAACCGCACCAAACCGCACCATCCTCACCCCTAGATTGTTATGTAATAAAAGTTACGATAGAAAATCAATGTGAATAACTTATAAAGGTAACAAAAATAATGTTAAGATTAGTGTTCATTCAATGCATATTGTTAGCAACGCATTTTTGGAAACCTTGAAAATGATTAAATGGAAAAATTACTAAAACATTTTTGGATTAATATTATGGAACTTGATTAAAATATTGATTGGAGGCAGAATTGTAGGCTTGTGTTAATTTATTTACATACGTTTATATATATATATATATATATATATATATATATATATATATATATATATATATATATATATATATATATATATATATATATATATATATATATATATATATATATATATATATATATATATATATATATATTATCTTATAAAATAAAATCTTACTATTTCTATAAATAGAATCAATATAATAATAATATTTTTTTTAAGACGTTCAAGTTTTTAAGTTTAAAGTACAACCAACTATTAATATAATAATATTATAATATATATATCTTATAAATGATAATGCTAGGGATACAAGTATTAAAAACATATTTAAATTAGTATTTTCTTATTTTTAGGGATTGAAAAAAAAAATGCAATTTCTTTTTAAAGATTAAAAAAACTGCAATTTTTTTTAAAGAAAATTGCATTTTTTTTCAAAAAAAAAAAAAAACGTAATTTTTTTAAAAAACTACATTTTTAAATAAAAACTTCCATTTTTTTTTTTTAAAACTGTAATTTTTTCAAAAAAAAAAGACAAAATTACACAGATGGTCCCTGTGGTTGGCACGAGAGACCAAAGATAGTCCTTATGAGGAATTTTGGACGAGTATGGTCCCTGTGGTTCCAAATTGTTGCACGAATAGTCCTTATGACATACTCCGTTTAATTGTTGCCGTTTATCTAAATCACGTGACCCTCACACGAGGGTATTTTCATCTTTTGCTTTGTTACACGAAATGATCATATACATAAATGATCCTTACATCCAGCTGCCATTTACGTTGCCCCAAGAAATCGTCCTTTTCTTTTCTCCTCTGGTTTATCATCTTCGTCACTGCAAAACATCAAACGGATACTAGGGTTTTCATCTTCATCATTTGCGATGGTTCTAACTTTGTGGAATGTCCGTTCAAAATTCTCAGAAAATCCTGACCTGATCGAAGCTTATGGTGAGTGATCAGTTAACAACTTCCAATTTTGTTAAGTAATTTATGCACATTCAATTTTGAGACTTCATTCTTTCCTCATATCATTATTTATTTGTTTTTCAGTTGAGTTAAGTAGTTTTTGCACATTCAAGATTCACCATGGGGGTATGTTCACAAAATACCCAGGAAGACGTTACGTTGGTGGGAGTATTGACTATGTTGACTACGTAGACATGGACGTGTTCTCCGTACATGAGTTAGACGATATGATGAAGGAGATAGGTTATATCAACGGTGAGCCTATCTACTACCACTTCTTGATTCCAGAGATTGAAATCGATTATGGGTTACTTCCTTTAGGTAATGACTCAGACGTACTTTTGTTAAGTAAGCATGTCGCTAATCATAAAGAGATTATGGTGTATACTGAACATGGAACTACTAGACTCCATACATACTTTATGTCTCCAAATCAGGTCGTATTGGAAGAAATCAATGAGCCTATTTCTCCGGAACTCAATCGAAAAAAGTTTACAAGTACAGAGGTAGGATCATGTAGTAGAAAATTGGACTTGAATGAGAACTATGACTTTTCTAGGTCTGTTGTACCTTTTGGACATTTTGATAGAGATGTATTGAAAGATGTTGGATTTCAGCCTGCAAGTGAGGAGCTTAACAAAGCCCAAGATGTTGGACCTTCAAAAGACTTTGATCCTTTCTTTTATATGGATCATAATGATTACCAACAGATGGGGGACGATGATTACCAACAGATGGGGGACAATGAAGAAATTGGAGATGCTATTAGTGATGAGACTAGTACCAATGGAAGTGCAAGCGAGGATAGTGACTTTTTAGTGGATGAACTTAATATGGTGGAGGATGTCGAAGTGAATATGAAAGACTTCCACAGTGGTGTTTATTCTTTTCCAAATCTAGATAACCACCAATCATTCAATGCACCTGATGTCATAGTTGATGACGATTTGGAGGTGATAGATACACAGTTGTTTGAATCAGCTGGTGTAGAAGAAGATGAGAGGAAGAAGTTAATGAGAAGGTTAAACAAACCAACCACGTGTTCATCAGGAGTAGTACATGAAACTGCATTCTATCTGGGTCAAATATTTAAGTCCTCATCAGAAGCGAAGGACTACATTAAAATGCATTCAATTCGAACTAGGAGAAACATTTATTTTGCAAAAAATGATAAACAAAGAATTAGGGCAAAATGCAGGGGTGTGGTCCCAGAAATGACAGGTGGGCCATGGACAAAAAGTAGAATCAAATGCAAGGACAAAACAGTCAGTTCACAAAAAGCAACATGCCCTTGGGTGGTATTAATTTCTAGATCTGATGAAGAAAGCGATTGGATGGTGAAAACTTTGGTTCATGAGCATAGATGTGTGCAGTCAAGATCTATTAAAGCGTGTACTTCTAAGTTTCTTGCAACCACCATTCTTCAACAAGTGGAAGGAAACCCAATTATCCCAGTCAAAGCTTTGCGTGTAGAGTTACAAAAGACATACGAGGTGGGGATGTCAAGAATGAAGGTCTTTAGGGCTAAACAGCTTGCACAGAAACATGTTCACGGAGATTATGAAAAGCAATACAGCCTTCTCAGGGATTATGTACTAGAATTACAACAGTGCAACCCAGGAACAACTGTGAAGATTGATGTATACAGTGAACCAAATGCAAACTTGGAAACTAGGATGTTTAAGAGAATTTATGTCTGTTTAGGTGCATTAAAACTGGGTTTTAAGGCAGGTTTAAGAGATTTCTTAGGATTCGATGGGGCTTTCATGAAGGGACCTTACCCTGGACAGGTTCTCACTGTTGTGGGTCTTGATTCCAATAATGGGATCTACCCACTAGCATATGCCATAGTTGAAGCCGAGAACATAAGCTCATGGAGTTGGTTTCTAGAGTGTCTAGGTGAAGATTTGGAGCTGTCTACAAATTCAAACTTCACATTTATTTCTGACAGGCAAAAGGTTAGTCTTCTTATGATACTTCTGCTACCTTTAAAAAATAACATTTTTGTTACTTGTTTATTAGGGGATTTTACCTGCCATTGCCAACCTATTCCCTAGCGTTGAACACAGGTTTTGTTTAAGACATATTCACGAAAACATGAAGCTACAATGGAGGGGGAAGGAGCACAGAGATCATTTATGGGAATGTGCAACAGCAACAACAGTTAGACACTTTGACAGATTCATGGAAGATTTTAACAAGTTCAATTCAAAGGCATGTGATTGGTTAAAGAAAATTCCACCCAAACATTGGGCCAGAGCACATATTTCAGGTATATTTACCCTTATATAACAGTTAGACACCTTGACAGATTCAAGGAAGATTTACACTTTGACAGATTCTTATAAGATATTTTGTTGCATTGTACAGGAAGAGCACATACAGATATTTTGTTGAATAATTTATGTGAAGTTTTCAACTCAAAGTTGTTAGATGCTCGAGACAAACCTATAATTACATGTTTAGAATATATTAGGGAATACTTAATGAAACGAATTTGTATTGTGCAAAATGTGATAGATAAGTCTCAAGGGCCTCTTACCCCAACAGCCACAAAACTTTTAGATGGAGTTAAGAAACATGCTTCTCAATACACTTGCATATTTAATGGTGCTGAGAAGACTCAAGTTACTGGGACAATGGGGGAACAATTTGTGGTTAATTGGAGGGACAGGAACTGTAGTTGCAGGCATACAGAGATCACTGGGATACCATGATCTCATCTTGTTAGTGCCATTTGGGATAAGGTTGAGCATGGGGCAAAAAATGTCCCACCTCTTGAGGAGTGGGTACATCCATGTTATAGGTTAAGCACATGGAATGAAATGTACAAGTACAAAGTTCAACCAATCAATGGAAGAAGTATGTGGCCAAAGTCAGATTGCCCCACAACACTAACACCCCCCAAACATACTAAACAGGTAAATAATTTTCAATTTACAAGTTAGTATACGTTTATATTGTTTTATAATTTATTAATTATGCAGGTAGGGAGACCAAAAAAGAAGAGAAAGAGAGCTCAAACTGAAGAACCAAATAATCAAGGTAAAAGTTTGACCAGGAAGTTCCTTACAGTTACTTGTAGCAAATGCAAGAACAAGGGTCACAACTCTAGGAGTTGCAAGGGACAAGGGGGACAAACTGAAGTTAGAAATATGGTGGCAGGGGCAAGAAGCTTAGCAAGGCAAAGAAGCAGGGAGATGGAAAAAAGGATAAATCCAAAATGAAGGAAAAAGTTTGATTTGTTGTCTTTTGTGTTGTTTGTTATGGAACCTTAGAAAGGTCTTTTGTGTTGTTTGTTTTGTTACCTTAGAAAGGTCAGACTAAGTTGGTTATTGTGTGTCTTTATCTTTTGTTGGTATTATGGTTCACACAGGGTGCTAGACTAAGATGGTTCTTTTGGTTATGATACATTAGTCTGCAAGCTCTTTTGATATTTTTTTGGTATTATGACTTTGCACTTTAAGGTTATGTAATGAACTTTATGACTATGCAAAAGTTTGCATTTTGTTTTTGAACATTTCTAATGTTGTTATGGCTTTACAATGGTTCACACATTATACTACAATGGTCTAAACCCTATAAAAACCTTTCACTTTCATTTTTTATACTTTAATGGATCTGGATAGTTCATTAAGTTGCAAACCAATATTTTACACTCATTACGTTCCAGACCAATATTTTTCAATGGTTGCAGACTAAAAGTTTCCCAAATAAAAAGCATTCCATTCATACATACGAACATTTCTTACATCACAAACAAAAAAACGAAATCATCTTCAAATTAATAGTACTATCTGATTCTACCCACAAGCAAAAGAACCATCATCTCCAGACTAATACTATTAGCATCTTTTGTACACATACATGAAAAAGAAAACCCAACTAAAAACTATCATCATCTTCACTTTTTTTGCTTCCAAAATTGCTTGCAGCAGAGATTCTTGAAGCTTGTTCTTGGATCTTAGCAAACCTGGAATGACAGCCACAACCCTTCGACACATGGGCTCATCAAACCATGCAATGAAACCGCAACTGCTAGGACATTTCCAAAACCTACGCCCTGGGTTGAGATCCGTCCATGATGTCACTATCACCGCTTGCCTTCCACAAAAACAATTTACCATTCTTATGCAAATTTTCTTACAAACACACAGAAGAGAGAAGAGAGAAGAGAGAATAGAGGAGACGATAAATAAAGAAGGAAGTGATGGGGGTTTAATTTTTATAGGGAAAGGGACTATCTTTTGCAGATCATGAGAGAGAAGGGATAAGCAAATGATGAAAATACCCTCGTGTGAGGGTCACGTGATTTAGATAAACGGCAACAATTAAACGGAGTATGTCATAAGGACTATTCGTGCAACAATTTGGAACCACAGGGACCATACTCGTCCAAAATTCCTCATAAGGACTATCTTTGGTCTCTCGTGCCAACCACAGGGACCATCTGTGTAATTTTGTCAAAAAAAAAAGAACTGCAAGTTTTTTTTAAAGAAAACTGCATTTAATAAAAACTGCAATTAAAAAGAACTGCAATTTTTGCACAAAAACTGTATTTTTTTAAAATGTAAAATTTTAAAAATCAATAAATTAAAAAAAAAGAACTAGAATATTTAAAAAAAATACTCTTATTTTATTAACAATAAAAATCAAAGTTTTAGGTGCATATATGCATATTTTTTTCAAATGCATATATGCATATATGTTACAATATAATATTCGTAAGTAAATAATAAAAATATCTCATTTTTATTAAATAATCTATAAACATAATAGTACAAGTATTTTATTCGATACAAAATAAAATATAAAAAATAAAAAATGCTACAAATTTCAAAGCGGTTTCATCAAGGTTGTCAAAATCGGGATCCTACCCATTATCGTTTTTGGGTTTGCAAGATCGGGATCGGGATCCTAAGATCCCACAAAATAAAATATAATTTTAATTTATAATTTTTAATCATGAAAAATATTTCAAACATTCATTTTTTTTTCCCAAAAGTTATAAAAACTTCAAAATATTAGTAATAAGCCACAATACAAAATGATAAATGGTAAAAGACATAAAGTGGTAAAAAATTTCATTTCCAAAAAAAAAAAAAAAAAAAAAAAAATCAAGGGAAGGTAGGATCGGATCGGATCTCGATCCTACGATCCTACCTACGATCTTATGATCCTACTCCAAATACGATCTTTTTACGATCTGGATCGTTTTTCATACCCATGATCGTAGGATCGTACGATCCTACGATCAGGATCGCGATTTTGACAACCATGATTTTCATGTCTTTGTGTTAATATTTCATTATTTTCTTCAATTTATCATTCTTCACCTCTTTAATATTCACCATAATTTCTTAAAAATCTACAAGAAAATTAATTTTTTTTTGACTAATGCAAGAAAACTCACAAATGACTCATATGTAAGTTATATATGAATCACATGTAACTCTTATGTGATCTACTTGTTGTTTACATGTGAATCATATGTAATTCATATGTGAATCACTTGTGATTTATTTGTGAATTACATGTGATTCATATGTAAATTACATATGAATCACATGTAACTCGTATGTGATTCATTTGTGATTTACATGTGAATTACATGTAATTCATATTTGAATCACTTGTGATTTACTTATGAGTTACATGTGATTCATATGTAAATTACATATGAATCACATGTAACTCATATGTGATCCACTTGTGATTTACATGTGAATTACATGTGAATCACATGTAATTCATATGCGAATCACTTGCGAATTACATGTGATTCATATCTTAATTACATGCGATTCACATGTGAATCACATGTAATTTACATGTGAATCACATGTAATTCACATGTGAATCACATGTAATTTACATGTTAATCACATCTAATTCATATATGATTCACTTGTGATTGTAATTTACATATGAATCATATGTAATTCAGTTAGTAGAATTACTTGATCTCAATCTCAATCTACATTGGTAACTAAGATATTTGAAAAAACCATCTTAATTAGTAAATTATAATATGAACGAAAAATATAAAAAAGCTTATTTTTCTTACATTTGAGATGATATATATGAGAGGTATGTCCAACAAGATGCTAAATATAATTTATGTGACACCTATACAAAAAAAGCAAATGAATCCAAAGAAAGTATATATATATCATAAAATCATGAAAAAAAAAGTTATAAACCATTACAATAAAATATAAAAATAAGAATAGATGAGAAAATATACATAGCTTTTTTTTTTCCGATTATTTTAAGTTTAACTAATACATCAGTTGTGGAAAGAAGATGTCCTCCTTTTGCAGATACATCTTCATATAAAAGATATCTGAAAATAACATTTATATAAATATATCAGTACCTTAAAAATTAAAAATATGTGATGATATGTATAAAACTTGCATAATTAACTAGAACAAGACCTCTCTTGGGACTGAATGGGTTATGAAGGTCATGTTTGGGGCTTAGTTATGCTTTCTATAAAAGGCTGCAGGAGATATAAAAAAGATATTAGATAATTTATAAACAAACTTTCTATTTAGAAAAGAGTTTATTGGTCTTTAAATAATGCATATACATATATTTCACTTTCATCTACTTCTAAAACTTTGATAAATGATTCCCCATTCAGAGGATCCAAAATTGTATTCCAAGTCTTATCTTGTATCCATTTCCCCTTAACTGTAAATTATGATAAACCATGATTATCAAAAAAATAAATAGTTTACAATTTTAATGATTCTACTAAAATTGAAGTGAATTAATGAGCCTGATATCTCTTCAACTTTAACAATTGCAAATTGTAGTGAATTAATGAGCCTGCAACAGACATATCATATGTATAATATTTATGATTTATCCAGTAGTAAAGAACAAGGAAGCTCGAGTACCATTAGACAATAAAGCATGTTCACGGGAAGATGAAGATATCTGGTTGTTAAAACAAATATAATCACTAAAATCCCCACAAGTTCAAGGGTCCAAAGAAACTATGGGCAAAGAATGAAAAGCTCTTTAGATGATAATAATCTAACTTCCAAGGTCCATTATGATTTTTTCTTCCTACAAAATCTTATGCAGAAACAGGTACAAGTACACTTATAGACAAAGCAATTATCCTATTAAAAATGTCATTAAGCAATAAAAAAACATCATGTGAATCAGGTATCATGAATTCCAGAAGCAAAGATCGGAGAAAGGATTCATAAAACAACCATGAATCAACTCGAGATTAATTCCAAAATATATTGAATTTCACAAGCATAGTACATACTCAAGCAAAAAAAAGTAACTAAACTCAACCCTAGTATCAATCAGATTATGATAAAATCGAGATAAGTCAATTAGAGAGAAAAATAAGTGATATATGACTGAAAATGATAAAATAACTATAAAAATCTTCTGATATTTAAACAACATGTGTGAAAACTAGGAGATATCGTATATTTGACAAACATTCCGACCGCTTGAAGCTTGTGATGAAGACTTTGATCGATCCAAATATATAATTTCCGAGAACGACTCTCAATCTAGATGTACGAAAACGACGGGTGGTATTAGATTTGAGGAGACGAGTTCGAAAATCAGTGGAGATGAGTCCGAAAATCAGTGAGATCAGATAAAAATTAAGATCTGATACATGATTTATTACTCATTAATCGACTTTCAGATTATGAAACGCGATATGAGACAGATATGTAAAACATCGATCGATTTCCGGAGTTATACTGCAATGATGGTTATGTTACTGGTGATACGATCGGAGTGGAATGACGCCGATCTATTGGTTCATCAAATCGCCGTCACTGATCTGGAATCAAGGAGTGTCGATCGGCAGTCGCCAAAGGTAGAGGCGATCGATGAAGGGATGAGGGAGGCGATCGACGGATGAGCGAAGAGGGAAGAGGGAGGCGTCTTTGATCATCAGTGAAGAACACATGAGAAAATGTGAGGTCAAGAGAGAGGGAGAGAGACAGAGAGAGAGAGAGAGAGAGAGAGAGAGAGAATTAGATATGAGTGTTTAGGGACGTGATAATCTAATACCTGATTTGCCCTTGTCATATTTGATAAAAATCCATATACACCATTCAGACTTTTCTTAATTACCAGATTGCCATTAAAAATCTCAGCCCTTAAATTTTTTGATCTAATGGTCCACTTTTAGTTCTCGGGTTATCGGGAATATATGAGTTCTCAAATGATCATTCTT